TCCAACAACAATCTCTCAACCATGTGGCAACAGTCACTGCTGCTCTTGTTTCCCCACTTTGCTGTATGGAGGCTTCACTGGTATGCCATGCCAGGTCTGTCCCACTCTTCTCTATCTTGGTCCTATGAAGTGAGCCGAGCAATTAGTTTCTCTAGACGACTACTAGTAGCTCCCAAATGAAGCTGAAAGGCACGAACATCACATAATCTTAATGGGCAATAATGGAACCAGAGTCAAGTCTGGAGGCAAGAACCATGGAATATTATCTGAACGCAATGTCTCTATGGCTATATTGAAGGCATTGGAATGGCTGATGGTTGATAGATGAGTTTCATTGTGCCGATTCTTTTCAGTTCTACACCCAGTCAAGAAAGCTTGCCATCTGGGTCCAGTCCAAAACTTGTATGACTCGCCACCGCATTGACTCATTGCTGATACATGTGATAGTATGTGATCAAGTTTGACACTGCCCTTGAATATTCTACAATCAGCAAAGACCTAGGAAAGGTGAGAGTTTATGGATGCGTTACTAAATGTTCAACTCATGCTTGCATCCAGCTTTTTTTCAATTTTGATCCTCTGGTCCTAAACCTCTTATGCTTCCACAATAAGGAGTGGATAAGAAGATTCTTCATATGACTACATGCAGAATATTGGAAGAATGGGTCATCTATTAAGCAATGCTGATGGGGATCAGATGAGATTGAATCGCAAATTAAAGGATGTCTATTGCTGCTTCTGGCAACACTACACATTTCATTGTTCCAGCTGCTTGCAGTTTCATTCCATCATATTACTCCAGTATGAAGACTACTCTCCAAAGAGTTCTATGTTTGCCGGCAATGGGATGAAATGAAAAGCAGTGCAAATCAGATGAGTGGAAGTGAATTTGATGGCTGCATTTATAGGTCCCAGCTGAGAATGCTTCTTCTGGAGTTTTGATCGATCGTCATGTTTACGATGTGCTTCCACCATATAGAAACAATATAATGGTTGTTCCATACAATGGCTACATTCTGGCGACTGCTTGGGACATGGCCGAGGCAATTCTGATGAGTAGAACTGGATTTGATGGACAAGTTGGTGAGTTCCAACTCATGCTTGTTGTGGAATTTTGATCCATCATCATGCTTACCATGTGCTTTCACCATATGGGTCCAATATAATGATTGTTCCAATCAATGAATACATACTGGTGAGCAATTGGGACATGGCCGTGGCAATTCTGAGGAGTAGAACTGGATTTGATAGTCAAGTTAGTGAGTTCCAACTGATGCCTGTTCTTGAATTTCCATTGATTGTCATGCTTACCATGTGCTTTCACCATATAGGTCCGTTATAATGATTGTTCCAATCAATGAATACATACCGGTGAGCAATTGGGACATGGTCGAGGCAATTCTGAGGAGTAGAACTGGATTTGATGGACAAAATGGTGAGTTCCAGCTGATGCTTGTTGTGGGATTTTGATCCATCATCATGCTTACCATGTGCTTCCACCATATAGGTCCAATATGATGGTTGTTCCAATCAAGAAATACATACTGGTGAGCAATTGGGACAGGGTCGAGGCAATTCTGAGGAGTAGAACTGGATTTGATGGACAAAATGGTGAGTTCCAGCTGATGGTTGTTGTGGAATTTTGATCCATCATCATGCTTACCATGTGCTTCCACCATATAGGTCCAATATGATGGTTGTTCCAATCAAGAAATACATACTGGTGAGCAATTGGGACAGGGTCGAGGCAATTCTGAGGAGTAGAACTGGATTTGATGGACAAAATGGTGAGTTCCAGCTGATGGTTGTTGTGGAATTTTGATCCATCATCATGCTTACCATGTGCTTCCACCATATAGGTCCAATATGATGGTTGTTCCAATCAAGAAATACATACTGGTGAGCAATTGGGACAGGGTCGAGGCAATTCTGAGGAGTAGAACTGGATTTGATGGACAAAATGGTGAGTTCCAGCTGATGCTTGTTGCGGAATTTTGATCCATCATCATGCTTACCATGTGCTTCCACCATATAGGTCCGTTATAATGATTGTTCCAATCAATGAATACATACCGGTGAGCAATTGGGACATGGTCGAGGCAATTCTGAGGAGTAGAACTGGATTTGATGGACAAAATGGTGAGTTCCAGCTGATGCTTGTTGTGGGATTTTGATCCATCATCATGCTTACCATGTGCTTCCACCATATAGGTCCAATATGATGGTTGTTCCAATCAAGAAATACATACTGGTGAGCAATTGGGACAGGGTCGAGGCAATTCTGAGGAGTAGAACTGGATTTGATGGACAAAATGGTGAGTTCCAGCTGATGCTTGTTGCGGAATTTTGATCCATCATCATGCTTACCATGTGCTTCCACCATATAGGTCCGTTATAATGATTGTTCCAATCAATGAATACATACCGGTGAGCAATTGGGACATGGTCGAGGCAATTCTGAGGAGTAGAACTGGATTTGATGGACAAAATGGTGAGTTCCAGCTGATGCTTGTTGTGGGATTTTGATCCATCATCATGCTTACCATGTGCTTCCACCATATAGGTCCAATATGATGGTTGTTCCAATCAAGAAATACATACTGGTGAGCAATTGGGACAGGGTCGAGGCAATTCTGAGGAGTAGAACTGGATTTGATGGACAAAATGGTGAGTTCCAGCTGATGCTTGTTGTGGAATTTTGATCCATCATCATGCTTACCATGTGCTTCCACCATATAGGTCCAATATGATGGTTGTTCCAATCAAGAAATACATACTGGTGAGCAATTGGGACATGGCCACGGTAATTCTGATGAGTAGAACTGGATTTGATGGACAAAATGGTGAGTTCCAGCTGATGCTTGTTGCGGAATTTTGATCCATCATCATGCTTACCATGTGCTTCCACCATATAGCTCCAATATGGTGATTGTTACAATCAATGAATACATACTGGTGAGCAATTGGGACATCGCAGAGGCAATTCTGTCAAGTATGGAACTGGACCTGATGGCCCAGTTTGTGAGTTCCAGCTGATGCTTCTTGTTGGTCAAGAGTTTCAGTTGATTGTCATGCTTACCTATGCTTCCCCCAGGGTACAGATGTTTGGTGATGCTGCCTACCGGTAGTCATTAGTAGGTAAATAGTTTATACTAGGTGGTAATAGGCCTAATGTTTTTTAAAACATATGCTACTGTACTATTTATGAGCTCATCGGACAAGATTACATAGCCATGGTTGGTAATCTTCTTCAGCCTCCAATTGACAAGCAACTCTCCTGACCAGGAGGTGGATCTCAATAGTAATGTTATTGTTCTTGTTCTGACTTCCAACTTGGGAGCCTGATTCATTGGCTGTCCATGAAACCTTGTCTCATCTTCTAGGAAGAGCCAGCCTGATTCCAAGATGCCGTCATGAAGCTGATTGTCTTGTAAACGCCACATCGCTAATTCTTCAATCGTATCAAGTGTTGGATCTCCTCAATCCTGCTCCCATTTTAAAAGCAACTCTCATGACCAGGAAATGGATTTCACTATGGCATTGTTGCTATGCAAGGAAATTGATCAAATGCATTGATGGTACAGTGCTCGGCAATCATCTCCAATAAGATCGCATGGATTCAATTGAAGACATTGGCCTTGCAATGATTGCCACAATAAGGTGGAGCCTCTGGCCCAGCAAACACAAGAACCAAGTCCACGCATTCTTCTATTGGCAAGATCTTCTGCCATGGTTGCAAGGTGCTACTAGCAGAAGTTTTGGTGGGTTTCTTCTCCCTGTATAGTATCATCCAAGCATGATGCTGAATATTCAATGGTTTTGGGGAGATATATGGCGCACCTTTGGTTGTTTGACCGTGAGATCATGCATTCCAACAAAAAAAATTTAAAAAATATATATGACATGAATGATATATAAAAATTGATGGCAAGTTGTCTGTGATTTCGGTCCGAATTCAAATCTGAGAATTTCTCAGATTTAATTAATTTTGGCCTTTGGCAGGCTGGCGTGCAATTTTTTTTAAATCTGAGAAATTCTCAGATTTGAAAAGCCAAGGTATCCAAAATTGGACCAAAATATTGATTGACGTATGTAGAATGTACCATAATCAAATCTGAGAAACTCTCAGATTTGAATTCTGTTCGCAAAAGGGTTAAAGATCGTTGGGGTTTCACTTGAAAACCTGAGATTGTGATTCTTGCTTGAGCTGTCCTCTCTCGCACAACTTCGATCTAGATCAAGTGCAAATGGAAGAAATACAGAAATTGGACAAGCAGGTTGAGGACTTGCAAAAAAAGCGCGACGCTCTAGTTGCGAAACGCCGCAGCTTGGTGGAGGACACAAGCAAGGAACAACCACCGCGAGACGCGCCTTTGAGTCTCGTTTGGCACAATTGCGTATGGAACATCCAAGCTGGAGGTTCGGTGAACTGGATTGGGGCTATGGTCAAGAAAGTGATGGAGAGATGGAGTACTACGTGCAAGTAGCAAATTGTCCAGGTGTAGGCAAGAAGCTCGATTTCTTGGAGGATCCCGATGACCGCTACAGTATTGTTTTTCAGCGTTATGAAAAGGACGCGCACTTCGAGCAAGGTGGATTTACAGTTTATTTGTGCGAAGGTACTCTCTATATGCCCATTGAAAAGGAGTCCAAGAAACGCAAAACCTAGAAACTAAGAAGACATAAAATTTGATGAGATGGATGAGAAAAGTGCTTCTTAGCCATTGCAAGGACGAACAAGTTTGCACTGCATAGAACTCCGCAACACTAAAATCATTTCAAACAACAACGTTGGCAACAACTATAATAGATCTACTTCAATTTCCTTTCAGAACTTATCATTTCAAGTACCTCCGAAACATATGATAGTGTAGCACCATACTCTACAGTCAAGGATTGGTCCAGGTACCATAGTGGTAGTCGCCCTGACATTGCTGATGCCACTACGGTTCCCAAGGTGCTGTGTGTCAAACGCAGAAGACGCTGTTCCATATAAGACGCAATCTGAACAGCAAGAATCTCAGGATGTTCATATATTCACGTTACAGAGTCCGATGGCCATTTCAACATCACAACGGCCATACGTTTGCCATGATGGGAATCAGAACATATGACCCCGATCCGCGAATTCCCAACCCAAAATGTGGCAGGAATTTGGAATTCTGGTGACAAAGTAAAAATTTCAAAAAGCAGCTATGGACCTAGAACCTTTTCAGGTCGCTAGAGAATAGTTTGCCCATTCCTTGTAAAAAATTCCAAGTTGCTAGGAGGTCGTAGAGGGGCTTCACTACAGAAAACAACATTTGTGTAACGGCTAAAAAAGAAACCGTTATCAAGTCGATTGAGTCAATTAGTAAGTCGATTGAGTCAATTCCGATTTTGACTCGTGTGATTACCAAAACGAAAAACAAGAGGTAAGAGGGCGATCTCCTACCATACGACCTTGTTGCGATTACATTTTTAGATAAATTTCCCGGCGATATTATAAATATATACCTAAACTAGACCTCTGCATACTCTAAATTGCGAAAGTGGCTAGATTCGATCACAGGGAAGGAAATTCGACCAAGTCAAAGAGAAACCTTAGGAAAGAGAGAAAAAAATAAGCTAGCCTAGAATCTATTTACCGGCGCAGCACTCCAAAACACCGCCCAAAGTCGATACTAGTTGGTATTTGGACAACTTTGAACTTAGTGCCATGGTGTCTGGGTACTGACTCGGCGACTGAGAAGGATTCCTGACACCAAGTTTCATAAACCTGGATTGACCACTGTAGCAGGGTGATTGCCATTGAATCGCTTGCACGTAGAAATCACCCATTCCAAGCCCCCCAATCTCATCATACATACCCATGGACGACAACTGTATGTTGGAATGAAGAATTCTGAGGAAATTCGGTCCACACCAATACCATTTCCCATTTTGGACCGAATTTCACTGAAAACTCTTCCCATTTTTGTTAGATCATTCTTGATCTAGGCCGAAAAAATGTAAAGAAACCAGAAAATAGAAACAATAGGTATCCAAGGGACCTTCTGGTGTATTGTTGAATGTATAGTTGTCTCCAGGGCGGCCACACCGACCCTCATGATGACAGGTGACACGACAGCAGCAAACATTCGGATTCAAAAATCTCAGCCAATATTCCATAGAAAAAGCAACCGAATGGATCTCCGAGTAGGTATGGTCACTGCGAAGCTTTCCAGCACATGTTGCATATGAGGCCTTGCCCTCTTGACCTTCTGCTGACCAGATTAAGCAACCCAACAGAACATGTTTGGCGAATTTTGGTAGATTGTAGTGTAATGGAGGCGAAAGGAATAGTGAATCGCCGCTCCAGCCATAGTCCATCTATCAAACATGCTTGCCATAACATGTTATTCAGTTTTTACTTCTCTGGGCGCCCACACCGGCTACCCATTGTGATGGACGAATTCCCAACTCAATATTGTCGTGTGAAAATCGTCCTGTAGGAGCCCAGATACCGCACATCAAATGATACCACCGTCTTTCCTATAACATAATAAGCAACTTCCGAAGAAAATTTGACATCTTTACTGCCTTGCGACTGCGTGGGGTCCCAAATCCATGCAAAAACCGAATTTCAGACCTCGTTTATGTGTCTTTTGCAGTCATTTCAGAGGTGAAAGGAACAAACTCGTCCATTTCACCTCATACAAACAAGATAGATACGGTCACGACAAAGGCCGCTTCCAAAATGCAAGAGTTTTCCTCCCGAGGGTGGTGATTTCCTCGGCCTGAAGGCATACCATTGTTGGTGGAAAGAAGAATTGATGTGATTGAAGACGATCTCAACTGAAGGGCGCATAGAGGTGCGCGAAGAGTTAGACGTCTGATTACGTACGGAAAATACTGGTTCGCGCGCAAATTCTTGCTAAAGTACCAGGCGCCTCGTTGAATTTTTGCGTGGAACCAAAATGGAACCCAAAAACATCCGAGATTTCTGTTTTTTCCAAAACCACATCAAATTCACGTTCCTTGAAAGCAGAAGCAGAATGGGATTTTAATCTTGCTACTGCACTGCTTAGCCTACAAAAAGGAATGTAATTCATTGGATCTATTACCAAGCCTACGCAACGTTGCCTACATATTCTTCCAATTCATCCCAGTCTCTACTCACCGGCACACAAGCACCGTCTTCGCCGTCCTCGTCAACATCATCTTCAAAAGATTCAATTTCTTTCATGAAGTCCATCGCATACAACACCTGTTCTTGGTTCAGTTCTACGCGATCCGTCCGGTTGCCTTCGAAGTAAACCTCGCCATCAAACTCGACAATATAGTTCGCAGTGTTGACGGTTTTGCCATCTTCTTTCACGAGGTTAACATCCACCACTCGACCAACAGCCGGCTTGTTGTCATCAACTGCCACAGCAACTCGGATACAAAGGTAGCTCTCCAACATAACAATCAGCTGATGTTCGACCTCTTCCGCCTCCCTCTTTTCATTCTCTCTTCCACGGATCAAATCCTCAAAATCTCTGCTCTGAGCTTCAATGATTCAATGAAAAATTCGGCAGGAAGCTCCACGTCTTTGCCATTTGTCTGGATCAATAATTTCAGAGCCTCCGCCTCTGATTCTTCTCTGATACATTGGACCGTTTTGGCATTCTCCACCTTCATTTCGCTCTTGATTGCCGCCAATTCAGCTTGGAGTTTTTCGTCAGCTTCGACTTGAGCGTCTTCTGCTGTGGTCTGTTGGATTTTCCCGACG